GCTGGGGGATTGAACTGTGGTCCCTGTGCTTTGCTACAGCTTGTTCTAAGTAGGTGCTTTAGACCACTGAGCCATCTCACTAGCCACACTCATGGGCCTTTTCAATCCCTTGTATGTACTATTTTTAAAATTATTTGTCTTTTTACTATAACTGTAGTCAATAGTTGTCTTGGTACAATACTCTTTAAGCTGTTGCATTGCATTTGATTCCCATATAACTAGTTTTGTTTGTTTGTTTGTTTGTTTTGTTTTGCAGAACCAGGGATTGAACTCAGGTCCTTGCACTTGCCAGGGAAGCACTTGTTCCACTGAGCCATCTCCCCAGCCCCCTCATATAGCTAGTTTTAACAAAATATCTATCCTAATTTTTACCAAAACTCTTAAAATAGCATCATAAAGAACATATAGGTGCATCTTATGTTTTATTTATTTTTTAAGAAACAAAAGACCAGTTGAATTTTATTGGGAGTCCAGGGTGAAAGCTGGAAGCTTTGGCCACTAGAGGCCTAAGACGGTCCTCTACTCCTCGTCCTTGGCATCACCGTGCATGATGACATAGCAGATGTTCTTGTAATCCGCATTGCCACCCACATCTGGGAGGAAGGCTGCCCACATGTTCTTGAGCTCCTCAGGGGTGAAGTGGTTGCACTGCATGGTAAGCAGTTCTTCCAGAAACTGCTTCCTGAGGGGGCCCTTCCCCTCGGGGTCCAGGACCTTGAAGGAGCTGGTGACCCAATCCTTAGGATCTGCACCCTTGAGCTTCTCTCCAAACATGGTCAGGAAGACGGTGAAGTTGATAGGACCGCTGGCTTCCTTCATCATGGCATCCAGATCCTTCTTCTTCACATTCGGGCGGCCGATGGCTGCGAAGGTGTCCCGAAGGTCCTCTTTGTCAACAGTGCCATCTCAGTTGTATCCTATATTTTAAAAGCGTAATATATTAACTTTGATATACCAAACAAAGCAAATATTAATTACTTAACATTAATATAGATCACAAAAGCATTCTTTTTTAATTGGCTAAATTCTCCATTGCTTTTATGCTGTATTTTCATTGTACTCAGTCTTGTGGGGTGCTTTGAGCTAGAAAAAGCACTTTGACCATGTGGAATTCAAACATAAAGCTTAAAAATGCCTCTCTCACAGGCTCTTCTGAGCCCAATTTTCAAAAGGCTGCCAAGATTAAAAATGAAGATGTGGTCATTCGATCTTTTTCTCTATCTACATTCTACACATATCACAATATATAAGTACAGGGGCTGGGGAGATGGCTCAGTAAATAAGTGCTTCCCTAGCAAGCACAAGGGCCTGAGTTCATTCCCAGGTTTCACAAAAAAAAACAAAAACAAAAAAACAAAAAACAATATATAAGTACATATTCACACAACACCTTTTCTAAAGATACTTTCTAAACACATATCTACACCCCCACACACACACTTTCTAAAAATAAAGCCAGGCAAATGGTGCATACCCAGTCTTCTGGAAGGCTGAGGCAGAAGGATCATGCATTCCAGCCCAAACTGAGTAATTTAGTGATTTAACAAGAGTGTGTCTTGAAATTTGAAAAATTAAAAGGGATAAGGATGAGGTTCAGTGATATAGCCTCGGGTTCAATCTCCAGGTCTGAAAATAAATGAAGACACAAATAATATTATCTGTAATCATATGCAACTGTCTTTTTTTAAAGTACTGAGGTGTTTGAATCCAGGGGTGCTCTGAATTCTCAGCCCTTTTTAGTTATTTTTACTTTGAGATATTGTCTTGCTAAATTGCTAGGCTGGCCTTGAGTTTATAATCTTCCTACCTCACCCTCCCACATATCTTGGATTATAGGCATATGTCACACTCTTGAAAAGCTTTGTATGGTATGTGCTACTATTTAATAAGGCTTTTCTTGATAAACATTCAATCACTTCCCAAACTGTCATCACTGCAAGATGCTCTAATGAATACCCTTGTTGAATTAGGTTGAATCATTTGGAATTACTGCTTTTGTATATTAAAACATTTATGTCTATGAAATGAACTTTTTGAAATGGATCATACCTCAAAAGATACAAGTACTTTTAAATTTTTATGGTTGCTACTACATGACTCTCCTAAAGGATGTGCTAGCTTCTACTGTGTTCAACACTCCATGTCCTTGGCAATAATAAAAGCTTTCAACCTTTTAAATTTCTAACAAAAAAAAAAATCCTATCCCTCAGTGCTGAGATTCACTTTTCTTTCTACACTGTGAGTAGGTTGGACATCTTTCTGCACGTATATGTCACCTATGGCATCCCAAGTATCACTGGATTCCCCCGAACTTTCCAACTCCTACGTGCAAAAAGAATCAAACCTCTGATGTGCTGAGCTGCAAAAGGCTCAAGTCAGCAACTTCTGGCATTGCCAGTTCTAAGGATAACCCACTACTACTATGGACTACTGCACTATATTGGATTATTTTGCTGAATTCACACACCTACAGTATTTAAATGGCAATGGAATACCCATCTCTGACAAAACTAGACGAAAGAAGAGTATACAAATGAAGGACCATTTTGTATCTATATATACAAAATAGTTAGGATGGATATACAGCTACTTTCTCTTAATTCAATGAGAAGAAAGGTTTGTACTAATAGTGTTTGGACAGGAAATCATGTCTGCATCTTGTACTATGAATAACCACTACAAAGACAACAATATGCAATGTATTAATTATTGAAACTGTCCTACTAATCAGTTTTGAAACTGTCTCATTGCTATTTTTTTCTCAATAAAATTAATAATATAAAAAAGAATCAAACCTCTGAAATAACACATGCTTATTTTGAAAACATACCTTTCAGGAACCTGGAATGGGTTCTTTTCCTGCCTTTGAATTCCTATTTGTGTCTATGACTAGACACACAGACATGTATTTTCTCCTTTGGCTTCTGTTTTTTGAACTTCAGTTGCTTGAAAAACCCCACTGGACTTGAATCAGAGAAGCAAGGAGGAGGTCATCAGCGAGTTTGTGTTTCCACCGTGTCACCTGCCTACCATCAGGGGGTCTGGGCATCTCGGTGCCTCCTTTCCAAGCTCCATTTTCCCACCCTAACAAACTTCTCCTCTCCCAGCACTGAGAGGCAATTGCCTACTTTTGCTTAGGCAGACTCATTTACTGAATTAAAGTCGTTTGGCTTCCACCATAGCAATTAGTATGCAAATTAACAGTATATTACCTGCAGAGTCATAAATTACCTTGACAAACTTAATATTCACAGATTCTACATACCAGTGTGGGTAATTTTTCTCTTTCTCAGTAGTTGTAGACCAGGGTGATTCGCCTTATTGAACCGTTACACATTAAATCAACAGTTGAAAAATTAACCATTTTTCAAAGCATTTTGTTATGCATTTATTTCTTTCAGCAAGCAATAAAGTGGAACATTAAATATGTGGTGGATCTTAGTGTGTACCTAATGGCCAGTGAATGCATTTAAGTCTAAAGGAGGGAGGGAGGAAGGGAAGGAGAGAGAGAGAGACAGAGAGAGAGAGACAGAGAGAGAGACAGAGAGAGAGAGAGAGAGAGAGAGAGAGA